AATGTAGATAATATACATTTTAGATTTCAGGTATCATGACAAAAGGCAATTGATAATGAGTGACGCGTGTGTAGTGGTGTATTTACGAGCGGTTAGCAGTGTGCGTTATGCTGTGAGGAATTAAAACGGAAAAGGGAGAATTCAGGGTCATGCAATTTTAAACAACTTTTACAAGAACTAGCAAAATAAATGCAAACAGTGTCAAAATCTATTTACAAAATAAGTTTGTCGTGCCTATCACCACAAAAGTACTGTGACGATTTATATAACTATACAATAAGTGAGGCGGTACTGCCCAAAGCAATGGATTATAAAGGTCCAGGAGTCATAGTAACTAACGACCTAAGAACTACAAGTAACTGTAAATCTGCCGCTAACAAATGCTTTAGGATCTAATAGGCTATTTCTGAGTCATTTGTCGCTTGGACGCAGTGATTTCTAAGCTACTATGCCCGACGTTGTGAGGCCGGATTCGGAATACGGGTTTTGCTATGTCCTGACAAGAATAATGAATGGCACTTTCGGGATCCATTTGTGGACCAATACTACACGCATATTTCTATCGTATAATTGTTAATTAACTGAACTATTCATATTCATGTTCCTCTTATTACAGGCTTTATTTTGACCTATGAACTATTATTATACGTTTTACCATTCTTGAATTATGCCCTGTTTATTAGTCACTGCCTCCCACATTCACAGCCACATTTGGCCAAATTATGTACAAATGTTATTTTCTATTTTATGCTACGTTGTGGTCTGTTTGATTGGTATATAAACTCAGTATGTTTGAAATATAACGATTCATATTGCAGAGGCTGATATTGGCGTTCTGGACTTAACTGGCTGGGCTAGGCGGAAAACAGGGCCAATCAGAACTCTAGGCCGCCCGCACGTGTTTTACGGGTCCTTGATCCGGTCGATAACTCACTGCCCTCCACTCGGCGGCCCCTCAACATATAACAGGTTTCAAGCGGCAACTCTCTGTTTCAGTCATGAAGCGGACGTACCGGAACAATGGTAAACAACCTTTTTGACATGTCCTGTAAAAACAGATTGAGAGGCTTAAACCTGCATCAGTTATTCTACCTCAAGTACGGGGTGATTTAACATTGAATTAGTATAATGATTAGGAGTATTTGAATTATAGTACTAACTAAGAATCCCAGAAATAACTCACTTGAATCAAAGAGTACTACACAAGCACTAAGAATTGTACTGTACTTGAAATTCGAAATCAAGCATTCAACAAGTACAAAGGAATCATCACTTCATTCAAACACCACATCCGCCACAGCTTATTTTGTGGTCTAGGTGTCTCTAAGCAAATGTACGTCTTCTTCTGAAGTTCATACTGTGTCTGTCGGACAGTGTATTGGATAAGGACTGTGTACTATGACACTTTTCACATCTGTTTGCATTTATTTCTAGCCACCAACACGTGAGTCTCGTCAAGGAATTCATTTTCTTAACACCTAAATGTCCACTATGAAGATCTTCAAGGACAGATTTACGCAATGAACGAGGAATAGCAACACGATCATTTAAAAACAAAATACCATCAAGAGTAGTGGATAACTCATCCCGATTTGAAAAATAGATAGGAAATCTACGTTGCAAATTAGCATTCCAACCTTTCCGTATAGCATTAATTATACATCCAAAGTATTTACGAGTTACTCTAATGAGATCTGGACGTTTCACTGGTAAATGTTGCACTAACAAACAGTCTGATGTATTAACAGGTTTATCTTGTAATGAATGCCGAGAAATGTAGTCAACATGTTGGATTTGTTTGGCACTCCTGTGCTGAACCGTAAAGTCATAGGCACTCTAAGCAATACTCCATCGTTTAACCATAGCAGCTGAGAAACCTGCTAAGGATTTTTCAGGATGATAAATAAACTTTAAAGCCTCATGATCAGTAACAATAGTGAATTTCTTTCCGAATAAATATTTATGAAGTCTTTCAATAGCACAAAACACAGCTAATGCTTCTCGCTGAGTCTGTGAACAATCTTGTTCAGTAACAGTAAGTTAGCGTGAAACACAGACAACTGGTCTACCTTCCTGTTCCAAAACTGCGCCAATACCCACAGGTGATGCATCAATAATAAGCCCAGACTGTACATTAAGGAAGTAAGTTCGAAGAACAGCATCAATTTGAAGAAACTTCAGTAGACTTCGTAGGCATGACTCTTGTTCCTCACCCTATTTGAATGAATCGAATGTCAAAATATTAAATAAACAATGTGCACGACATGAAAAATTAGGAATAAAACGGGAATAGTATTGAAGAGCACCCACTAGTGAACGTAGTTCCGTAAGATTTTTTGGAGACGGTGCATTTGTCAGTGGAGCTAGTCGTTTCATATCTGGTCTAAAACCATTACCATCAACGAGGTATCCAAGACATTCGAAACTAGATACACAAAATGAACACTTATTTGGATTCACTGTAATCTTCTTCTCAAATAAACGACGCGATAAAGCAATAAGTCTCTGGTTATGAACTACCTTATCAGAACCATGAACAATTAGGTCATCTTAATAAACCTAAACACCCTCAAGATCACTAACGTCATTATTCATAACTTTCTGAAATATGTCTGGAGAACAACTTAGACCAAATGAAAGGAAATTGTATTCGAACAAACCAAAAGGAGTATTAATTGTCGTCAAAATAGATGAGGATTGATTTAAAGAGATTTGATGATAAGCATCTTTTAGGTCAACTTCCGAAAACACTTTAGAACCATGAAGTTGATTTAGAATAGCTTCAGCTTCCACCGCCGCGCATGTTTGTTTTAACAATCAGGAGTTCAGTGTTAATCTAAAGTCACCACATATTCTAGGAATATCGCCATCCGACTTCAATTTAGTACCCCATGCTGAAGACTTGATCGGTTCAATTATGCCTTTCGCACACAAATCGGTTGGTGTCTTACGTACTGCTTCTCGAAGATGATAAGAAAATTATTCGTCTTTTAAGAAATACTGGTTCACCCTGTACTTGGAGTTTTATAGGCCGAATTTTCATGCCTCCACTGCACTTGCAACACGTAAATATCAAATCATTAAGTAAAGCATCAGAATTTTCTTTGGAAACTAGGACAGACAACCCCAATTTTAGCCTTTTCAAATGCCTAAAACCCAGTATTGGCAGTCCTGTTCCTCTAACTAAAAATTCACAAAGTATGCATGAAGAGTTATCATCTCTTATTAGCAATTCACATCATCCTCGTATGGGCAGCCTGTAAACAGTAATTCCTAATTTCGATACTTCAGTGGGTCTTACCACAACGTTAGGAGCCAAAGAATTCAAGCTCTTGAATGAAATAATGGACTCTATACTGTCTGTGTCCACAATGAAGTCATGAATTGAGCCATGCGATGTAAATAATCGCTTTTGAATATGAGCATTACATTTCGAAATGGTAAACAAAGATAAATGATCATTGGGAACAGCTGAATAATTGGGATCTAAATTGCAAGATTTGGCACTACGTGAGGCAAAATGAATAGTGGCTTTGCATACTGATTGAATGCGTCCTGTCTTACCACATCTAAAACATTAGGCATTACGAAATGTACATGAATTACGAGAATGAAGTTTTCCACATAATAAACATTTACCAAACTTGATCTCACCTTTGTGATTTGTTTTGTAATTTCCTGTTGAAACGCTTTCCATATTTACACGAGAATAGGAATCACTGTTAAACGAACGCAAGTTTGATTGACCCTCAGACTGTATTTCATCATGATGACTAAGCAAAGTATTAGAAATCTTCATCGACTGGATATAAAGTTCATTCACTGTCTCGTAGTTAATACACGCAGTTCTAGCATCTTGAAAGGAACAGTCCGGCATTCTTAACAACTCTCTTTCCGGACACGGCAAGTTAATTCCTGCAATTAATCGATCTCTCAGTTGCACATGAAGTTGATCACCGAAATTACACCTGACAGCTTGTTTCTGCAATCCAAGGATGAATTTTCTAACCTTCTGGTCACTTCGACGAATCATCTAATGAAATTTCGCCCTTTCACGGCATTCAAAGCTAGTGCATTTTACATGAATTCATAATAGCTCCTCAATAGTTGCACAACGAAGTGAGATAGGTCTTTATGAATATGCCAAAGTTTTTAATAAGCTGTATGCTTCTTTTTCAATGAATGTCAGGAAATGTGCCACAATTTTATCACCTTTAACATCCTTCTTGGTCATGCTCAAAATTTCAAACCTTTCCAAATGATCCTCAAAAGCTTCAGAAGTTGAATGAATATCTAACTGTTCCATCACAGGTTCCATCGCGACGCCAATATGATGATTAGGAGTATTTAAATTATAGTACTAACTAAGAATTCCAGTAATAACGCACGTGAATCAAAAAGTACTACACAAGCACTAAGAAATGTACTGTATTTGAAATTCGAAATCAAGCATTCAACAAGTACAAAGGAATCATCACTTCACTCAGACACCACAATTACAGTGCACTAAGCGATGAATTTGGTATTATTGTGTCTTGTCTTTTCCCTCCGCTTATGACTAATTGTCTGAGAAGACATTCTAACAGAGTTCTGAAACCAGAAACAAATCGTCCATCTCTGGCGTTTCATTTCTCACATAGAATGGTCAGTTACGAGAGTTCCCTAACATGTAATATCAGCACCTTCTGTTGTTACGTCCAAAGCGAGGTCGGATCGATGTTCACAGGAATGCGTATCGCAGTATTTGATATAGGTCGAGTGATCTGTCAAAACTGCTGAAGACTGAAGTATATGTAAATCCCTTGAACTAAGAACTAATTGCTAACCCTGGCAATTTATTATCGAAAAAAACACCAAATTCGCCTATTCGAACCCAAGGTGGCTTAAATTTTAGTCAACGCTCACATAAACATTCGTAGTTGAAACCTTAGTTCGAACCTCGACCTTTATCTCACAAGGTCACTGGGTCCGTTTCACTGGATCGTCTTTTATAATTTGGTATGATTTCTCTTTCTGTTTTGTTAGCACTTTTGATTGGTGGAAAAGATGACATACTTTATTATAATGAATACTTCGAAGGCGAGTTGAGTGAAGCACCCGTAGAACGTCTACTTCCTACTTTGGTGACATTTTATAACCAATATTCAAACGAGCCCTACAGATATGTGGCATTTGACGCTAACCAGACACTACAAACTGTAATCTCGAAATTAAATATCTAATTTTTCTCACAGAATATAAGGGGTTACAGATATCGTTTCTCTGTTTTGTTGGCCCCCACTATTTGCCCCAAATACCAAGCGGAATACGTATCTATTGCACACTTGGGACCATGCTCGTTGAAAGCGTATGGAGTATGTTGCACTTAAATAGGTGTTCTTATACCTTAAGTTTCAAAAATGCAATTTCGTTTTAAGCTTTCGAAAGGGTCTAGTGTATGACGATAGCGAGTTGTACCTTGAAGGTTGTCGATCTGCTGTCCCGAGAATGCCTGTAAACCTCGAGGTAATTATATGTTAAATTCATGTTTTCTGAGGTTTGGTTTTATATCTTAGTATTTATAGCATGCCAGAAATACATCCGAAAGCTCCCAGCAATATATTCTTTTAGAACTGCTTCATTCACGATGAGCAAACTTATCATTAGCATAGTAACTCGTTATAGGTGGTATGTTTGTGTAATTTGCGTTTCTGAACGATATCAATAGTTTGCCGCGAAAGAATTAGACTATCTAAATCAAGTTGTATATCCCACGTGCGGTTTATGTAGAAGAAACCACTATATGTGGGTTGCAAATTTTATACTGAATTAATTTTTTAATGCCACACATCAGCGCCCAGTTTTTTATAAACCGGAAGGTTTATCAACTTTTGCTGATGTGTGTCGAAAGTGTAATAATTATAAAAAGCGCCTATTATGTAACGATAATCAGAGATGGAGGATTGACTGTATGTCTCATGCTGATAAAATTGTTAGTTGCTCCACGAAAATTAAATATCTCTGTTTATTTCTTCCGTAAGCCACCGTTTCTCAAGTAGTTACATGGTATTGTATCTACTTATAGAAAGTACCTCGTATGGTCTAGATAAAATACAGACCAAGAAGTAAACATAGTAGTTAAATAACTTTAAATTCAATCAATAGATTATTTGTTCACTTACTTTCCTACCATTGGTTTAGACACTTTAGAAGTCTTACTAGTCCTCATAAAACTTCTGGCTTTACGTTAAGTATATAAACATGCCAACAATGTAGTCAGTGAACTTCATTTACTTTGCGTCATCAGTTTTTCATTTTGCTGAATAGAATGTGTTTGTATCAAATTTTGTCACTTAGTAGTACTGTCAACGTCAATACACCGACATATATTTTGACAGCTTTTTATTCTTATAAAATGACTTAATGATAGAAAATATAATAATAGAATATTTAATAGTTGGATTCATGATTCAATTAAAGTTAGACCACCATGGAGAACCTGGAAGCACTGGACGGTCGTTTCGTCCTAGTATGGGACTCTTCGGCAGTGTGCATAATAGAATTGTGTGTTTTTCAGATACTTCATGGTAATTACACCTTATCAAACATATAGAGATAATCTGTCCCTCGGATTTTTCATAATTTCGGATAATTCAGCCAAATGAATTAAACGCGCTGTCAAGTACACCATCATTTTAAGTACCAGATATATGTTCTCGCGGTCGACAAGGCTGCTTACTCTCTCTGCCTTTCTATTTTCTCTTATGGTTGACCGGATTATGAAGACCTCAACATCTGACGGGAAGCACAGAATAAAATAGACAGTTTGCATGCAACTAGACTATTTGGACTACGCAGATGAACTGGCTCTTCTATCCCATACACACAAACAAATGCAAATTAAGACAACTAGTGTAGCATCAGCCTCCGCATCAGTTGGCCTCAACATACACAATGAAATAAGCAAGGTCCTTAAATACAACACGGAGAACACAAAGCCAGTCACACTTGATGGAGAAGCTCTGGAAGATGTGGAATCTTTCATGTACCTGGACAGCAACATCGATAAACGAGTAGGGTCCGATGCAGACGTAAAGGCAAGGATTGGTAAAATAAGGACAGCATTCCTACAGTTGAAGAACATATAGAACTCAAAACAACTGTCAACCAATATCAGTGGGAATCTTCAATACGAACGTCAAGACAGTCTACTGTACGCAGCTGAAACTTCGAAAAAGACTCATCCATCACCACAATAGTGCAAGTATTCATAAACAGTTGTCTAATCAAGATAATGAATATCTGTTGACTGGATACCATCAGCAACAGCCTACTGTGAGAGAGAACAAACCAGCTTCCATCTGAAGAGGAAAAGACTCTGGAAGTGGATATGACATACATTACGGAAATCACCAAACTGCGTCACAAAGCAAGCGCTATTTCGGTATCCTGAAGGTAAAGGTAAAAGGGGCAGGCCAACGAACACATTGCGTTGGGAATTAGAAGCAAACATCGGAAGGATGAATAGCAACTGCAAACAACTAGAAAGGACTGACTAGGACAAAGTTGGATGGAGAATGTTTGTGGACGGCCTATGCTCCTCCACGAGGGGTAACAGGAGTAGGTAAGTATTTAAGTAGGTACATTCGGCTACGTCTACTTTGTCCAGTGTTAGGCAGTCTATGTTTAAGGACCAATTCCAGTGACGGATCCACGGGAGTTAAATAGACCGTCCTTCTTCTGAGCCATGAGAGTGCCTTAATTGGATGCATTCAATGTGAGCGGCATACCAAAACATCATCAATCACGTAGTCATTGGTTATTAGTATCAGGAGTTTAGCAAGCGGTTAATTTTCTCTAGCCAAACTGGTAAAAAGTAAAGAGAAGGTATGTCGATTTCATCACACTGTTCCTTGTTTTTCTGTTGGTTGGTACTTCGACGGATAAAAACCTTATCTCTTCTTTACTTTTGTTTTATTTTTCAGTACTTAGGTTTTAAGCTGCCTGGAAATGTGGATGAGAAATATGCACAGTTTAAGTTAAAATATAGAAAACAGTATCATGAGACAGGTAATTTCATATAATATTTGGAAATTAATGCATTTTTGCTTAGAAGACAAGATTAGGTTTAATATCTTCAAATCGAATATCTTGAAAGCTCAATTGTATCAGGTATTTGAAAGAGGTTCAGCCATTTATGGAGTGACACCTTATTCAGATTTAACAAGTTAGTATACATTTCCTAGTAATCGCAATTATCATTAGCTGATGAATTTGCACGCACTCATTTAACTGCTTCCTGGGTAGTATCGTCTAGTACAGGTAATACACCAATTTCGCTGGAAAAGGAGGTTAAGAATATACCAAAAAACTTCGATTGGAGAGAAAAAGGCGCTGTAACTGAAGTAAAAAATCAAGGAATGTGTGGCTCTTGTTGGGCATTCTCAACCACTGGTAATGTTGAGAGTCAGTGGTTCCGCAAAACTGGAAAATTATTATCATTAAGTGAACAGGTCAGTCTTTCCCATTCATCAATGTGTACATCCAAGAATTTAAATTAGGTAGTCTCATATTATATTCTAATCTCACCCTACCTACTTTGGCTTGGGCAACCGACTAGGATCATCACGTAAACAGTATGAACCAGTCGCAAACGTAGAGTTGTATTCATTAATTAAGTTGCGTCGAATTTCTCGAAATGGAGAGAAATATCATCCAGAAAAAAACACTTCGTTAGTGTTTGCTGTATCAAATAAATGTATTTACAGGTTATACTAAAATTCTTACGGAAGACGTAAGCAGTGGTTCTAAACGTACCGTAATATTGAGTTTACAAATTCATGTAAGTGAAATGTGTACCAGTGTTTTGCATTCAGTAAAAGAAAGGTAGAAATAAAAATGTTAATTAAAACCAATATATATATATATATATATATATATATATATATATATATACATAATTCTCTTCGTATAGACTTTCTTGAAAGTGGGTTGATTTGTAGCTCAAGTAACCTCACATTGTTACAATACTGTGTATGTGTTTCATTAAGGTTTGACTAGTTATAGTGTGTTAAAACAGCACAGCAACGCTACATTCTATTCGGTATATAGTTTGTGTTTAGGTTATAGATTTTCCAACCACTGCCTCATTGAGTGAAATTGTCCGATTAACCTATCTTGTAAGTTACTATCACTTTCAGTATTCTTCATGTTTAACCTTTTAAATAAACCTACAACTCGTGTCGTTCACTTAGTCTTGGTATGTTTAGTTTAAGGCTATGGGAACTACAGGAACCTAAAAGTAAGATCTAGACATTTAAGTCCAAAATTCACCTCTGAACAGTGTATATATGTTTTTGGTAGTTTGATGAACATGGGGCTTCTGTAAGCAGTAAGTTGAAAAATAGTGTGTATACGGATAAAATATATCCTACTTAAATCGTGATTTTTGCGACTTAGCAGTATCACTAATGCTCATATAATAATTGTAGTTGATAGTCTAGTACGCATCCTTGCATATATATAATCAGCGACCTACGGGATCCTCGTGTTGACTGATAAATTAATAGATACTGAAACTGTTCAGTAAACCGTCGTCACTAGGAACAATGATATTGGATCAAATACGATTCAATTAGAGTGTATTCATACTTTCTAACTATAATTGTACTTGTTACAACTAACTTCTAGGTAATTATAATATTTTATTCTCGATAATTCATGCTAATCACAGCAACTTGTTGACTGTGACGGTTTAGATGATGGTTGTAATGGCGGTCTTCCATCGAATGCCTATGAATCAATCATAAAAATGGGTGGTTTAATGCTTGAAGATAACTATCCTTATGATGCTAAAAATGAGAAATGTCATTTGAAAGCTGATAATGTTGCAGCTTACATTAATAGTTCAGTGAATTTAACCCAAGATGAAACAGAACTTGCTGCATGGCTCTATCATAATTCAGCAATTAGTGTTGGTATGAATGCGTTGCTTTTACAGGTATAGTCCTCAAATTATATTTTGGTTTTCTTTATATATACACCGTATTTTCTACTATATTGTTCTTTCAAACATAAATTCATCAACAGATTTTGAAATAGAATTTCTTAGTGTAAAAAAAATGTTGAATTTTTTAGCCGTTAATTGTTCTTGGCTAAGTAATGAAGTTGTTATGAGTTGTTGATCATAACTTTGTTATTATGTATAACTCATCGAGTTGTGCCAGTAATTTTGAATAACCCCGATAATTCAATTCCTTGAAAGTAAGCGCAGACGCTGGTTTTATTAATCCATGCAACCCTACTTTACAGCCTTATGAATATATAGTCAGATGCTAGCCGCCGCTTATTCACAACCGTTTTATGTTGTGTACATACTGACACTCATCAGTATGATATCGAAAATATTTTCAGGAATTGAATGAAGGTTCCAAAAGTGCTGTAAGAATAAATCATCAGTGCGAAGTTACGGTGTTATAAAATTTCGGGTTTCACCAAATCTTGACTGATTTTAGACAATGTAGACTAGTATGATGTGTTCTTACTTTTACTTGGGATATTTTCGTTAAGAACTAGTATCCTATACAATAGGAAATATTTATATTATAAATCGTATCCGTCAGTTAGCTGCAACGTAGGACCAGGCACATATATGCATCGGTCCAAGTTGCCATACCGCATTAACACAACAAGATGAATACCGGATTCATAGAAGTAGTTAATTCAGTGGTGGTAATATATAGAGGAAAGATTGCATATAAGGAGATAGTACAGAAAGATAGAATTAGTTCCTAGAAAGAAAGATTTGAAGTGATTTTAATCTCTTAGTTTGAAAGAAGACAGATAGTATATACACCGACGCCATTGTGGTCAATTCTGAGCCGTCACCAAGAGTCTCTAACCATTGGTTACGATAGTCACGCAGACCCCAACCAGGTAGTCTACATCTACTAACATGGCTCAGACCCGAAGTTAGTGACTTCAAGCACTGATGCTACGTTTTGGTTTGGCCGCCCCTAACTTTCTTCCAATTATCCCTAACACCGGTTAGCATTGCGCGTCGTGGTAATCGGTGTTCAGGCATACGCAGCACGTGGCCCAACCATCTCGTATCCGAATGAGAAATAAATCCCACACTCACAGCCACTTTTGACTTGATCGTGTATAATGATTATTTTTCATTTTATGGTGTAGTGCGATCTGCTGTACTTGTTTATAAACTACGTATGTCTGATATATACGGTTCATATAGCAGAGGCTGGTATTTGCGTTCTGGACTGAACGGGGAGGGATAGGCGAGAAGCTACTATACGGAGGACCGATAAGGACTCAGGGTTCACTCAAGGCTGCTAGTGCTGGTTAAAGTGTGTTATGACGAGATGAAAAGTCAAATTAGATTGATTACTCATTATGATTTTTATTCAACATTAATTCCGTTTAATTCAATTTAATGATCACTCGGCATAGTATTTGTTTCGTTCCCCCCTTTGACATTTTATTCTATATAACATATGATATTCTCGTATGAAGTATTTTTCATATATGTGATTTATTATGATTATTAATCAAAAGAGGTGTACAAACCAATATATCAATGAGTGTATTCCGAAGTAGACTGGTCGTGGTTGCCCGTGCTTCTGGCGGCTTGCAGAATATATTTCCCCGTTTCAAACTTGGACTTCTCTCTCCAGTTAGCGGGGCTGGGATGCATCAGAATAGCTAGCTTATTGGTCTTCGGTCACAGAGTCCTTGTTCCGTTCTCAGACTAGGTGAATTCGTAATCGCTTCAAACATAGCAGTGTCATTGATTTAATACAGGGACAATGACAGTATTCTGATTAGCGATTTTGTCACGTGGTATTTGACGGGCCATAGAACATAAGAGAAATCATTAGCACGAGCAGACATTTTTCCGATACATATTTTGATTCACATTGCTAAATGATTTGTATAGCGTGAATAATATCATTACATTTCACAATGAATTCCAGTCAACTCAACCAACAGGTAACTGGGCTTACTCAGACTTATAGGAAGTGGAATTTATGTACAAAATAACTAATTCACTATTGTTTTCAACTTCTAGTAAGTTTCAACAACTGTACACTACAATTATTGTAAATGGAATTTAGGCTTTTATTCCTATGACGTTTATTTTATCTATCACAACTCGATTTAGTTTTATCGACATGGAATTAGTCATCCATGGTGGATCTTCTGTTCAAAGTATCTGCTTGATCATGCGGTTTTACTTGTTGGCTATGGAGTTTCCGAAGAAAATGAGCCATTCTGGATTGTAAAAAACAGTTGGGGTGTTGAATGGGGTGAAAAAGTAAGTTTTTTTCACTTCCATGACTGATAAAAAGCGTCTTACTGCAATCATTTATTACGTAAATTACATCAAATCAACTAGTGTTGTATTGTCGGTTGATATGTCAAGTCAATATACCTTATCTCAGTTACTGGACAGGCCAATTTATCCGTTTTTGTTGAGTCACGTTTTGACCTTGTTAATTATTCGCTTATCAACTTTGTTTTTATACGAGCGTATGAGTATGTGTACACTTTTTATCCTATTCACCACGTGTCTGTGGCTTACTTTTGTGTGACTATAAATATTGACTAACGCTTGGTTGAATTGAGTTGGTTCACATACCTTCTCCACTGCGCGTCATTTCGCTCCGCTCTCTTCTCTTCATTCCCTGATTGCCTGTTCAAATGAATGAGTGCGCGAAATATACATATCCAAAATCCATTCTCGTATGTGACTTATTTAATCCCGTTATTCACTAACGTGATCTAAGTCGATAATTATATACGAGGATTGACGATATGTATATCTCAATAGCAATCGGAAACGATCTCACTAGAGCCAGATTACGGGCCACTAAAACATATATAGGTTTTTATTAATGGTTGTGGGGTTATTTAGCCAGGATAGTTTTAATTGTTTTCTATGTTTAATCTCTTGTTCCAAGAAATCGCCTATATTGTGTTGCCATCCTCTTGGTGGCCGACTTATATGGAGTTGTAGCTTTTTTAGAAGTTTGTATGATTGCTCTTTCTACCTGACTTAGAGTAAATCCATTTTGAAGTAAATTATTTAGCATATTTGGGTAGTCTGTGGTCAAGGCGTGTATCGCCTTACGTTGTCTTGGTTTGGGTTTCTTATTAGTGTTAAGAGTCTGATTACTATCTTAGTACTTTAACTTAAGTATGGTTGTGATCATGTAATAATCGGGGTTAGCCTCCATAGAACGACTGTTGTGTATGTCACAGACCATTAACTTAGAGTTATTTTCTGTTAATACCAAATATATCATATGTTCAGTTTGAGTTTTAGGGTGTACCCAGGTGGAAGTCTTGTGTGCTGGTTTAGTAATGACTGGTTATTAATGACGAAACCAACACCGGTGAGTGGTAAACCGGACGGTAGAGAACGTGCTAATCACCCACTCGACCTATACCCGTAACTGATTACGAAAACTACAAAGAATCATCACACAACTATTACTGGTTCAAAAAAAGACAAGTTCAAAACGTCACTCAACAAGAACGGATAAATTGGCCTGTCCAGTAGCTAGAATAAGGTATATTGACTATATATCACCGACACTACAGTCTTTACTTTTCAATGGACTTACTCAGCTAAATAGGTTCATTATTTCAGATAATTAGGAACCGACTTTACTGTTTGTCGAGCCATCCTATCGTCTTAATAACTGATAAAATTGTGTAGCATATCTTGCCATAATGTCGGTTATCACACTGAGGAAACTGTTATATCGTCTGTTAAAAATGGCAAAGAAACTGAACTTATTATATCGAGTATTTGAAAAGAAGTCTCCCTCTGTTTCTTTCATCTAAGATAAATTTATATTGATCAATTATACATCAGCCTGTGCTAACGATCCTATCGTATTTTAGTAGTTATTTCATCTGGTTGTACTTAGTTGTGTGTAAAATAATTTAAATCAGCACATAAAATAATAACTTTTGATATTTCTTAAGTTATGGTAATTCGTCGATACGATTAAAGTTGTAATATAAACCGTCATTTTGAATTGTTGAATCACTCATTACGGTTTTATACTTCGACTTGACATGGAATTCTATCGAAGTACATATATAAAATGTGCATATAAAACATATTATGCCAATGAATAGCACTGAAAAGTGTTATTTTCATCCTATTGTTAAAGGATAGTCTCATTACTATACTTGATGAGTGATTATTGTTTTCCAATGTTTTTTTTTAATTACCAAGAACGTTTCTGTATATTAGTATGACCTAATGATTGAAGCATTCTACTTTCAATCATCAAATTAAAAATTAAAGTTCTAAACTACCTACCTCAATTTGGGGGCTTTCACGCAAAATTTCTGATTAAGAGCCAACAGAATAAAACTTTACTAGGTTAATAATTTACAATAACATAGTACATTCATGTTTAGACTATACGTTGTTCGTAATTAGCTCACACTACTTGAATTATTTTTGTAATGCACCTGATAATCTTCTAAATTTGTGTAAAAATTCTTTTTTAGATCAAAATATACTTATATCTCATGTCCATTATTTTATTTGTGTATATTTTCATTTACTTTAACTTTCAGGGTTACTTCCGTATGTATAGAGGTGATGGTACTTGTGGTATTAATACTGTTGCTACGTCAGCGTTGATCTACTAGAGAGTGTGCGTATATGTGTTCCTTTTTTCATCCCAAAACGATTTATTTTATTTCTAACAGAATCTCAATTCCGTATTATTTTGTCGAAAATACTTTTCTTCAGATCCTGTTTTTTTTTAAACCTCCACTTCTCTCATCATCCGACATTTTTAAATTAATGAATAAACACTACGAATCTCTTTGATACACCCACTATTAGTTTTTTTATTTTTGATGGTGGATGGGAAGGGGAGGATATAATCTATTTTGGACAACTGCCTTTCTAATTTCAGTAATCTCATAAACATTTTGTATTGATTATCTCTAAAGACATTATGCTCAATGCTTTAGGTCACAATTTTTTTAAATATAAAATTAAAGCAAGCACATTAACGGCGTTTTCTTTATGGAGAGATGAGATGAAATGCATCGTAAATATTATCTGTTTTACATTGATGGTATCTAAGTAAGAACATGTTTTTTATTTGTTTATTCCTGTTATAATTTTCTCTTATTGTTATAACCCAGCTATTCCTATTGCTTAGTATTCTCGGACACCAGTTCGCTCGATAAGTCCCCAAATCAGAACACTGTTGAACAGGAAAGAGATTATATTTCAAATAACAAGGTTAGATGGAAGTAAGAAGCACAGAAGGAAAAACGTTAGTATATTTCTAGTTTTTACATGAGATTTCTAGAGTATTCTCCAAGTATCGACTAGCGCTGATTGGGCAAGGATTAGCCAATCAGCGTGCACCAAAGTAATCGTGCATTGAGCATGCTTTAATTCAATCTATGTCCCGCTAACAATTCCGTTTAAAAAAGTGATTGTTTTGAGATTCTGGCGAGTAATCCATATATAGGGGGCGATTTTCCAAAGTTTACTGTTTCAATGTACGGACTGAATTGTAATATAAGCACCGTTGATAATTCGTAGCTAAAAATGTCTAGATTTCCAGACTGATTTTCAAGTGATGTAATACAGAAATCTCAAAATTGTTTTTCTGATAATTCTGGTGTAATTTCCTGTCTTTCATACCCAGAAAGTTTTTAAGGTACATAATTTAAATTATTCTGTTACTGTTCAGCAAAGTGACATTTTAATCGGTCAGATTTTACCCTTACTAAAATTAGAGTTGGTTAAAAATCGATATTGATTAGTTGAAATTAAAGTATTCTTATCATCCCCTAATTTTTCTTACCTGTAACAAAATGTTTATGGTAATAATGTATAAGGATGCTGGGTCAGACATTAGTCAGTAGTATATGCAATCTCCTCAGTAAATGCGCAAAAAGATGCCATAAAAGTTTGATTTTACGTAATTTCGGGTATATTGATCCTATCTTTTTCGAAATACTTCCAATTTGTAGAAGTCCACTTGTCCCATCTTCGCTTCTGTCGTTCATAGTATATTCCAATGTTCCCAGAAGAAGTGTTTAACATTTAATGAATTTCCTCATAGGTCTTCTCAAGTTTCATTAGTAATTCACGCGGCTTAGTTCCCTTATTTATTGGATAGTGAGTGCAGCAACATAAATACTAATATTTTTTAAGATTTATAATGGAGTAGAGTTGTTAAAGTTTATCTGGATTCGATTTTCGACCGTTTTTTCTATTTTAAGGAGAACTAGTCAAAACTTTTTGGATAAATAGATTATCCATTTATCTCTGCATTTGTGAATCAATTATTCTTATTTCAAATTCATTAACTCAATCAACCTATGATCAGTCAGTCACTTCTACAGAACCCACTACTAATAAGTGTACTGGTCCAAGTTGTCACACCGATCAATGAACTAAGAGATAGTAATAGTTTATGAGTTGAAAACCAAAGGATGGGAATTAATTTTAACTATCAGTAATCTAACGATGAGCAATAAAGTTCACAAGGGACATAAAGTAGAAGAATGGAGAGTTAAAAATAAAACTGAATATTTAGTAAAAGAATGAGGAATGCAGCTACATCACCGCGAATGATTCTCAGCGATGTTAGGGTCTATGAGAAAAAGCGTAACTACATGTTTGAATAAAACTGATAAGTTCTTGATCATTTATAACAGCTGTCAGTAAAAGAAAACCTGCTAACATCAATACTAATTGAAGATGTAAGTCACACAAATGAATTGCTTTTCCAAGTACATGGGCCAATTAATCCCATATTACCTGTTCAGACTGAAAATCTTTATGAAGAACTTTAGATGTAGCCATTCCAACTTAGATGATAACTTGAAAATCTCTTAGAAATATTTGAATATTAAGGCTTTTCGGTAGATGTTTGCAATTTAGTCTCAACTTAACTGTCTATGAAACCAATCTATTTTGTCTTGTTTACGGTATTGTGTCCACTGTGTTATCAACAAGTCTATTAATTAACGATAATCAAAGTCTCGGACACTACTCAAGCTTAAACAGGTGGTTGGTTTAGAGCATCACTGCACAAATTCCTGAAGTCTAATGTACAAAGCAGTGGAGCAACGTCAGGAAACGCAACTCCATGGTAGTCAATAACTACAATAGATTCATATGCCATTTATTCCTTCATGGTGCTGGAGCACTTGTGAACTATTGGTTTACAATCAGGTATTTCCAGCTCCCGTAGGCGGATTTTCCGTATCCACCAACTTAGCCGTTGATAGCATCCTGGAATCATCTCTGATAAAAATAAGTAATGGTGTTGTAAATTGATTACCGGGAGAAACTTTTCAATCATAAGTTTTTGGATGACATTGCCTTACTTTGTGATGATCCACGTTCTACGAAAATTATTTTTAACTAGTTGGCTACCTGTATCCGTAGTTATCCCGTATGTACCTGATATGACGGGAAGAAAAATCAAAATTCGATTGGTTTATTCATTATGAGTTTTGTTCAACATTACTTCCGTTCTGATTCAACGTGATGATCATTCAGTGTAGTAGTTGTTTTCTTTTCTCGTATGATATTTTATTCTGTATAATATACGATCTTATATTCCATTGAGCTGAACTATGCTCAGTATGTGATATGTTGTAACTAAGTATTTTTCATATATGTGATTTCATCCTAATTATCAATCAAAAGGGGTGTACAATCAACAACAATAAATGAGTATATTTTCGACTAAGGTTGTTGTCGTCGTCGTGTTTTGGGGGTTAATAAATCTTCACTTTGGTCTTTTTGTTTTTACTTTCGCGTCGTGAGCATTGTAGAGGTCCCTCGTTTCGAGTATTAGTGATAAGCATTTCCGACAATCAGTGACAACCAGATATAACAAGCAGCGTTCAATCCGACAAGACATATCAGTACCTCATAAATATAAAAACATTTTTTTCAAATGAACAGAAGCCAGTGCCCTCACTCCTGGTGGTGAACCGCTAGAAGTAGTCGAAAGTTCGGGCCGAGGTAGTTGTGTAAATGCTGGTGATGACTGATGAGATTAATCTACGTATTCACTAGTTCACACTATTTTTGATACTACGTAGGTATATAGCGCGACAATATTCTCCTTTGGTCACAAGAAATATTTGATAGAATTAACCAGAACTCATTCTTTCTAGAATAGTTCCTTTAAACAACAGAAATAAATGGTCGTAGTATTCAGTGAATAGCTTTAACTTGATATACTTAATGTAGTTGAGTTTATTTTTACTACAAATTTCATCTTGCTTTATTGACTACCAATTTATATTTTCTAATTATTATTTATCCTAATGATGAATTATGGGATAAATCTGTTTTTCTAATTGATCTCTTATTAATACTTTAGTAAATTAGTACTACTTTATATAAACGAACTAATAATACTTTATGGAATATTAAATAGTATTTGCTGGGATTTTGGGAGTTAGGACCTAGGAGAAGACAAAGAGTGAATACATTTGCGTCATTAAGATCAATTCAGAGTGACGTTATCTAACATCTTCAATCACTGGTTATGAGAACCGCACGGGTTCCAATCAGGTAGCTAGAGGTTGTACTTAACTGTCATGTGAGTAATTAATCAATTTTTGTCATTCTTGTTGCCAAACCAGGTCTATTTAAAATCCAGATTGAGGTAATTGACATGTTATTTCAACTGCAAGGGTTGTGTTGAATCTTCACGTTGTTGATGTTAAGGAATGCATTTAATTAATCCCTTTTGGGAAATGTGCATCCTGTGTGGATTACCTCGATGTTGCGATTAAGTCACAAACATTTGTAAGCGTACTTGGATAGTGGCTATCAGTGCAATACAAAATGGTTAAAACATCCTTGTGACTTAGTGACATCATAGAGGAGGTCTGTACATATGTCAACACAGTGTGATCAATTACAGTCCTTAACATCAGCAACGGAAAGATTCAAATAACCTTTCCAAATACATTAAAATTCACCTTTTTGAACAAGCGATCGCATGTCTGGCCTCGATAGCTGAGTGGACACTATGTTGGATGTTTGGAATGAAATGTACTGGGTTTAAGTCCCCATGTGAACACGAAACTGAGACAAAGGGACATCCAGATGATGAGTTTTAAATTGAACAGGACACACGTCCTGTATTCCACTGATCGTCCCTATCAGACTGCCTAAATATTCTCACTACATTTTAAGTTTAGTTTAGTTAAAACTGAAATCATTCGTTTCAAATATGGGAATAACTGATTATTCATGATAATACTAAGTCTCCTTAATAATTGTTTGTATATCTAATTCTTTATTAATTTTTTTTCCTGAACATAACAATCATTCTAATGCACAGATTCACAAAGTTTTTTTCACGCACTCTTCATGTGATCCACTTTAGTATATGTTTACATTTTTGTTGTTGTTGTAACTACCTAATAAACTTAGTGCATAGTTTCATATGATATCCTTACATGTTAATTATAATGACTATTACTAAAGTATATACAATCACTAAGTGAAAAAAGCGAATGCACAGTTTGATCATTTCAACCCTACTATGATAATCTGAATATTGTCGGGGATAATCAATAAATTTTTTATAAAAAAAACTGGGTAAGTTAGAAAACATACTGTTACGAATAACGAAATTAGATAA